CATGTCCAACCATACATCAGTTCCATCTTGGAAGCCCTGATGATCCCCACCAGCCAGGGCTTTGCTGAAGTTCGGGAAGTCTTTTTCAAGGAAGCCACTGACATGAACATGAATATTGTCAATGAAGGAGGGACAGAGAAGCTGGGAGAGGTAAGACAGATGTTGATGGGAACAAGGATGAGCAGATGAAGCTGTTCTTTTGAGTGGCAAAGGTTGATGGATCTATCTATCTATCTATCTATCTATCTATCTATCTATCTATCTATCTATCTATCTATCTATCATCTATCTATCTAACCTATATCATCTATATCTCATCTATATACCTACCTACCTCCTACCCTATCTATCTATCTATCTATCTATCTATCTATCTATCTATCTATCTATCTATCTATCTATCTATCTATCTATCTATCTATCTATCTATCTATCTATCTATCATCTATCATCTATATCTCATCTATCTATCTATCTACCTACCTACCTATCTATCTATCTATCTATCTATCTATCTATCTATCTATCTATCTATCTATCTATCGGGACAGTTGATCAAAATTGTCTTAGCGCTCTCTCGCTCTCTCGCTCTCTCTCTCCCTCCCTCCCTCCCTCCCTCTCTCTCTCTCTCTCTCTCTCTCTCTCTCTCTTTTTTTTTAACTTCCTGAAGGTTTTAAGTATACCAATTTGTGTGGAGTAATCCTTAAATGGACTGTATGGCCCTTAGCAAGAGTGATGTTGGAATCTATCTTCAGGTTTTCAACCTGCTGAGGTGTGGGACCTTCTAATCCTTCTTTCCCTTCCCCCCCCCATCTAGTACATGGAGAAACTTTCTCAGCTAGCTTTCCATCCTGTGAAGATGCAGTCATGCTATGAAAAGATGGAGCAGTTGAAGCTGGAAGGTCTCCAGCAGCGGTTTGATGTCTCCAGTGCTTCCGTGTTCAAGCAGCGGGCCCAAATCCTGATGAGGCAGGTAAGGAGTCCTTTAAGAAAGAACTTGCTCCTACATCTTGCATCTCAGAAGCCATTGCTTATCTCCAGCATCTAAAAAACAAAGGCCCTGCTCAAGAAGCCGTTGACTGACCTACACTCATCTTCTTTCTTTCTTTCTTTCTTTCTTTCTTTCTTTCTTTCTTTCTTTCTTTCTTTCTTTCTTTCTTTCTTTCTTTCTTTCTTTCTTTCTTTCTTTCTCAGTGTTAACCAGAGGTGGGCTGGGCACTTCCCAGCTTGTAAGACAACTGGAGCCCTCTAGTGACCAGGAAAGCTTTGTGTCTGAACATGACAGGGGAAGAAAAATATTTTTTCTCTGCATGTGCCATGCATGTTTTCATGGGCCTCTGGGTGTGGATCCCTCTTTACCTTTTGCTCAAACATTAAAGAGCCTTTAAT